GTTAGATAATTTTAGCATTTGTCTATTGTTAAGAGGCTTGAGTATAATTTAGAGGTGAAAGTACCACCATACTATTTCTGAATTAAGTGTACTCAATTCTGACAGTTTCGGAGAAAGGGTAAGATAGAGTTACTACATGGAAATGCCTGTTTTAAGTTATATTTGAAGTTAGTTTTGGCTGCATTTTTGCCTAGGTTTTAAGTATTTGAGGGATTGTGTTCACAAAATATTAAACAGGGTCACCAGACAAGAATCTTCTCAGAAATACTGCCAGAAGAGAAATAAATTTATCTTTGACATAAGAATTTGCTTATAATAAGGTTAGTTTCTTTATAATATGTAAAGACAGTTGATTCCCATCGGAGGCTTCTGAAAGCCAGCTGTGTTACGAATTTGTAGATGTGAATACACACGTGCAGGATAAGACCACAGGCTGGGACTAGACGGGCACTGTAGAGGATTCATCTCAGTGAGTGGGGAATGCTGATGGCAGTCAGCTGTTGCAGGTGGGGAGGGGCCCTCCTACACAGCCTGTTTTCCTGAACGATTCTGGATGGCCACTATGGTGTGAAAGGAGGAATATGAGGAGGTGCACAGTCATCATGCAGGGATGTGGGAGGGCAGAGCTCTCTAGGGATTTTCCAAAAATGCTAAATGGCAACAGGAATCAGTGGAGTAATGAACGGGATTTTGAGGTTTAGCAAAAGAGAACGAAGACCACATCAGTCAGCAGTGTTCTAAATCTTTCACTTAAAGGATAGAGGTCAGTTAAACATGAAGAGAGTTCTGGTTAAAATTGGCCACAAAAACCTTAAATCTCGATGGCTAAGTGTGTTGGTTTTAAACTCTTATAGTACCTTTCACACTGTGTGGTACTTAGTTGTTTATGTAATTATCTCACTTAAGAAAAGGAAACATTAGTGATTTTTCTACCCCATGATCTGTTATGGTGCCTAGTATGTCATACAGTCCCCGTGAGGAAGTAAACGAATACAGCCTCTCTTGTCTTTGTAGCTTCAAATCTAAATGATTTGAATCTTAGTGAATAGATCATAGAAACTGTTTTTGTTAGTTCTGAGAGAGAAGTAGGAAAGGTAATACTTAGAAGTCCTGTGCTATGTATATACAGGCAATCCCAACGAAAGGCTTCTTGTTTAACATACAGCTGTCTCCTGTAAGATCTGCTGCCTTCTACAGTGTCATGGTAGAGCTCTCTCCTCACCCCTCTATACCTCCTTTCCCCAGTCTTTCTGAGCAAGGCAGGAACCTTGTGTGGTTGTGCCTGTGGTAGCTCTGCACCTATCCCCAGTGCTCATGCATTTCACCCGTCTTTGCCCTTACTGAGGAGCCTTTGGTCCCACAGCAGCAAGCCCTAGAGAATGAGGGTGCCCAAAGTCCTAGATTCATTGCTCTGTCCCAGCCCCACCCATTGCAGCTTTCTGCAACAATGGAACTGTTCTGTGGCTGCCCCACTGAGTTCGGTGGCCTCTAGCCCCATGGGACTGCTCATCACTTGAAATGTGCTGAGCATTGCAGTTGGGAACATAATTTTTAATTTAATTCAACTAATTTAAGTATAAATAGCTACATATCACTAGTGGTTGCATATTGGACAACACAGTTCTATCCTAATATTAGTGTCTTGTCATCTGTGTATGAGTTCAAGAGGTTTCTCTGAACTGATGTGGGAATCTAATAAACTGATGCTTGGGTTTGGGAACTGGGGTTTGGCAGTATTCTAAAAGCTTCATGTGAGCTAGTTTTTTATTACATGAGTTTAAATGCATTTAGGACATATCCTTTGACAGTTAATGTAGTCTGGAATTATTATATGATAAAGGTTAGTAATTATATTTTGTTTATGATGTGTAAGTTGTATTTATTGTTTTATTCACATACAGGACAGTTGTATAGAGTTTGGGCTCAAAGAAGGTTTTTATGCCACTTGAGGCAAAACTGCTGCTTATTAGAGTGCACATTGTAAACCAGTCCCAGACATACAGATCGTGGAGAGAGGCGACCTCATATTAAAAATGGGACAGCCTACAAGTCCCTGCTTGGTTTCCTAAGGCTTTAAATTTAGATATCTATAATAGGCTTTCCCTAAAATCTTTGAACGTAGTGCGTTAGGTGTGCTCAGAGTCCTCTATCACAAAACCTGAAGTAGTTTGACTTCTAGATTAAATTAAAATGTGTTAAAGGCAGTGTTGCAGACTTTTTACCATGACCTTGTGTGCTTGAGCCTCATCTTTATTTTCTCAACTGCCAGGTGTCAATAAAGTTCTAACATATGGACAAATGTTACAAATTCATTATTACTCAAAATAAGTTTAAGAAAATCTATACTGTATATATGCTAATTATTGGCCTTCAGGTGTTTTTGTTTAAATGGAGTTGTCTTCACCTTTGAAGTAAAAGCAATACCTAGTATTTGTCTTTATTTTCAAAAAATATATGCTTCCTTTCATTTTTCTTGAATCATACAACACTTTTTGGTTTATCTTTAATTTTCTTATTTGTGACAGCAATGAATATGGTAAGTTTTTTATTTCTGCCTGGCTCTGAGAAAAATAGATGTGTAACTGGGTTGACTAATAGCAGTTGACAGCCACACAGTCGGGGAGAGGATATTCCCTGCCTTGGTCTTTCCCTCAACCAAATACTGACATGGCCAGTTGCCTTCTTGAAATCCCTACTAGAAGGGCATGCATGTACACCTCGCCCAGCCTCACATGTCTAAAATAGAACTGTTGATGCCCACCCACCTTCCCATTCTCAGTGCATAGCTTCAGCATTCCCTCACACCTCATGTCCAGTCACTCATCCCTGTTGCCTCTGTCCACAGTAGCCCCTGAATCTCACGACTTCTCACGACCTCTACTGTCCACCAACAAACCTCAGGTCAGGCCATGCCTCCTTCTGCATTAAACAGTGAGGCACACAGGGCATGTAGACCAGAAGCTGTCCAGACAGCAGTGCTTTCTAAGGCATTCTTCTATGGCAGAACAGAAACTACCCCCTTCACGTTCCAGGAACTTCATAAACAGTTTACTTAAACTTCAGCACCACTGCGTGGTAGTAGTTCACATCCCCACTTTACAAGTAACCAGAGGCTCACAGGTGCTAACAGCAAGTCCATCCTATGGCAGAGCCAGGATTCAAATTAAGAACTCTCTGAGGCCGGGCGCAGTAGCTCATGCCTGTAATCCCAGCGCTTTAGGAGGCTGAAGCGGGCAGATCACTTGAGGTCAGAAGTTTGAGACCAGCCTGGCCAACATGGTGAGACCCTGTATCTACTAAAATTACAAGAAATAGCCAGGTGTGGTAGTGCAGGCCTGTAATCCCAGCTTCTTGGGAGACTGAGGCACGAGAATTGCTCGAAGCCTGGGAAGCAGAGGTTGCGGTGAGCTGAGATTGGGCCACTGCACTCTAGCCTGGGTGACAAAGCAAGACTCAGTCTCAAAAAAAAAAAAAAAAAAAAACCTCTTTGATATGAAAATCAGTGCTTGCTGTTATGGAATAGTGGCTTGAAAATGTAGATAGAGGCAGAAATGATCAAGAATACCGCCTTGTAGATTCCAGAGTGTGTTTTTTGTGTACTAATTTTGCTACTTCCCAGTAATGATTGGCATCAAAATCCTTAAAATGCAAAGACACTGTGTTTTTAGGAGGCAAAATGAAAAGGAAGAACTTGTGTGGATACTTTTCCTCCTTCATATCCAACTGTCAAAATAGATAATGATGGTTCTGTAAAGGTAAGGAAGGGAAGTTACAAACAAAAGTGGCTAGAGACAGAAATGTAAAATCAGTAGTTGTATGAATTAACTGATGGGTAAAACCAGAAAGTAGTATATCATAGAAGCTGAGAGAATTTTAGGATGTAATGAACATAGTAATAGCAGAATAAGAAAGAATGAGAACTGAGACCAGTTTTGGATTTAGCAGAGGAGGAATTCATTGGTTTAGGTACTACTAGCAGTCAGATTATAGAACAAGGGATTTAAAATGTTTGAATTACAGTATCATGACATGATGTCTATAGTTTTGTTTATAATGCCAGCCAACTTACAGTTATGGATGAAGAAGTCATCCCTGTTTCTTGTTACTTTATATTCAGTTTGTTATATGTGATATATTATGTGATTCTGAAAAGAAACCTGTATTTCGCTTTTCTCCTTGATCCTTTTATGTGTCTCCTGACATTCCTTAATGTCGTCAGAGGCATTATTTCGTATTACTAGCACACGAGTGACACCTAGTGGCCAAAACATCTGAGTAAGTTAGTAACCAAAGTACTAGGAAAAGCATCAGCTGTTCTTACTAACCTATTTTCTTGGCCAGAGCGTTGCGGTTCTTGATAATAATTTAATTTTGTTGCCCGACTTAAAGAACATTGCTGTAATTTCCATAAATTAACCTTTTTTACTTAGGGCAAATCACATAAATTTATCTATTTTTTTCCCCCTAATGTGAAACTGAGATAAGCGAATGAGTCCCTTGATCAAAAAAGTCTATTTTTAAAAATAGTCAACTTTTAGGATAAACTTAAGGGATTTATTTCTGTAGTTTGTAAGGTATATCCTGAATCATTTACTAATCAGGCTAGCTATTTTCTCTACAAATACAGTATTACCCAGTTGGAACTGATGTTTATAACCTTCAAGCAATATCTGAAAAAGGACAGTTTTTTAAATACATTATGATTTATAAAGAGGGAATATTTTAGAAGAGTTTTCAGTAATAAGGGCAAAAGGAAAAACCAAAAGGATTTCTGTTTAAATCAACTTGTATTTGTGTTTTCTGTACATATCTAGAAAATGATTTGTCCCATCCTTCCTGTGAATATACTGGTAAATTAAAGCATTATTATATTTGTTTCCTTCCTAAATAATATATGGAACGTTAAATAATTTACAGTGCTTTTATGTTCTTGCAAGTTTGTCATTATATTAATTGATTTGGTGGTGTTATTTGTTAATACGCTTCTTTTTATATTTCAGAAAAGATGTTGGTTTAAAGCGATTTTTTCCTAAGAGTTTACTGGATTCTGTCAAGGTAATTAGAGTCTGCTTTATCATAATAAAATAACAAAATTGTGCCAAGACCTTTTCCCCAGTGATAAATTGCTTTTGGGAAAGTAAAGTGTAGTTTCCTTCCTTCCATGTAAAATATATAATTTTAAAAACTGACATTTATTCTAGTCACATAGGTTTTTAGTATAGCTTTCTCCCATAAAACGTGGTTTTACTTCTTGATTGTATTTGATACTCTGCCAAGCATAAAACTGAAAAAGTTACGTGTACAGTTATTCCTGTCATCTAGGTCTCTATAGGCTCAAATATTTTGACATGCAGAAGAAAATGAGCAATATGTAAAATAATTGTGGTGGAATCATTAATATTTTGTGTGTGTGTGTGTATGTGCACACACATGCGTGCATGTTAGTGCATTTTGAAGGTCTGTCTTTTGTTTTAACTCTTTTTTTTATAAGTCATATTTTATTTTTTTATTTTATTTTATTTTTTGTTACATATGTATACTTGTGCCATGTTGGTGTGCTGCACCCATCAACTCGTCAGCAGCCATCAACTCGTCATTTACATCAGGTATAACTCCCAATGCAATCCCTCCCCCATCCCCCCTCCCCATGATAGGCCCCGGTGTGTGATGTTCCCCTTCCCGAGTCCAAGTGATCTCATTGTTCGGTTCCCACCTATGAGTGAGAACATGCGGTGCTTGGTTTTCTGTTCTTATGATAGTTTGCTAAGAATGATGGTTTCCAGCTACATCCATGTCCCTACCAAGGACACAAACTCATCCTTTTTTATGGCTGCATAGTATTCCATGGTGTATATGTGCCACATTTTCTTAATCCAGTCTGTCACTGATGGACATTTGGGTTGATTCCAAGTCTTTGCTGTTGTGAATAGTGCCGCAGTAAACATACATGTGCATGTGTCTTTATAGCAGCATGATTTATAATCCCTTGGGTATATACCCAGTAATGGGATGGCTCGGTCATATGGTACATCTAGTTCTAGATCCTTGAGGAATCACCATAATGTTTTCCATAATGGTTGAACTAGTTTACAATCCCACCAACAGTGTAAAAGTGTTCCTATTTCTCCACATCCTCTCCAGCACCTGTTGTTTCCTGACTGTTTAGTGATTGCCATTCTAACTGGTGTGAGATGGTATCTCATTGTGGTTTTGATTTGCATTTCTCTGATGGCCAGTGATGATGAGCATTTTTTCATGTGTCTGCTGGCTGTATGAATGTCTTCTTTTGAGAAATGTCTGTTCATATCCTTTGCCCACTTTTTGATGGGGTTGTTTGTTTTTTTCTTGTAAATTTGTTTGAGTTCTTTGTAGGTTCTGGATATTAGCCCTTTGTCAGATAAGTAGATTGCAAAAATGTTCTCCCATTCTGTAGGTTGCCTGTTCACTCTGATGGTAGTTTCTTTTGCTGTGCAGAAGCTCTTTAGTTTAATTAGATCCCATTTGTCAATTTTGGCTTTTGCTGCTGTTGCTTTTGGTGTTTTAGACATGAAGTCTTTGCCCATGCCTATGTCCTGAATGGTACTACCTAGGTTTTCTTCTCGTGTTTTTATGGTATTAGGTCTAACATTTAAGTCTCTAATCCATCTTGAATTAATTTTCGTATAAGGAGTAAGGAAAGGATCCAGTTTCAGCTTTCTACTTATGGCTAGCCAGTTTTCCCAGCACCATTTATTAAATAGGGAATCCTTTCCCCATTTCTTGTTTCTCTCAGGTTTGTCAAAGATCAGATGGCTGTAGATGTGTGGTATTATTTCTGAGGACTCTGTTCTGTTCCATTGGTCTATATCTCTGTTTTGGTACCAGTACCATGCTGTTTTGGTTACTGTAGCCTTGTAGTATAGTTTGAAGTCAGGTAGCGTGATGCCTCCAGCTTTGTTCTTTTGACTTAGGATTGTCTTGGTAATGTGGGCTCTTTTTTGCTTCCATATGAACTTTAAAGCAGTTTTTTCCAATTCTATGAAGAAACTCATTGGTAGCTTGATGGGGATGGCATTGAATCTATAAATAACCTTGGACTCACCGCAGGGTGTGTGGAGTGTGCAGTATGATCTCTTTTTGGATTTTAGAATATAAAACCGACAGCAACATAGAGCACAGATTGAAAGCAAAAAGACCAGAACTGAAAAGAGTTGAGAGGTGATTAAGGAAGATGAGATGTGCAGTGATCAGGGCCTGGATGGAATGGCTTCTGTAAGAATGGGAGGGAAGGATGACTAGGGGGACTTGAGAAAACTTTTTTTTTTTTTTTTTTTAAAGAGACGAAGTCTCACTCCATTGCCCAGGCTGGAGTGCAGTGGCACGATCTTGGCTCGCTGCAGCCTCAGCCACTCAGGTTCAAGCAATTCTCCTGCCTCAGCCACCTGAGTAGCTGGGATTACAGGCATGGATCACCGTGCCCAGCTAATTTTTTTTTTTTTTTTTTTCCTGTAGAAACATGGTTTTACCATGTTGCCCTGGCTAGTCTCGAAGTCCTGAGCTTAAGCCACCCATCTCCACCTCCCAGAGTGCTGGGACTGCAGATGTGAGCCATCACACCCAGGCCAGAAAAATAATAGATGTGCTTTTTGAGCAATTCAATTGTTGCTGATTTTGATGTAAATAGAATTAATTTTTAGCTACTGTTAGCTATGGATTCATCAGATTCATGGAGTGGCTCATAAATAAGGTTCTTAGAACTGGTTTCTCACATGCCCTTTTTAATAAGGGAATCAGTGTAATTTTGTGTACCCAATAATGTATATTTGGCTTAGAAATTCATATCCTTAGCTCAAGATTTTTTTCACATTTGACGTAAATTCTTTGAACATTGTGCTGATTGCCATGAAACTTCTATGGAATATGGTACCAATATATGCCCATGGGGGTAACAACTATAATACAAATTAGATGGTGTCTAGATAGTTCCTTCTTCAAAGCTATTGCCAGTGAAACTTCAGCTAACTAGAAATTCACACCAGTTTCATGTTTCTTCTGAAATAGCTCTATAGAATGGCTAGGTCAGTTAACATTGACTTTTCCATACACAGGCTACATTTGTTTCTCTGGTAATTATTTTGTTTTACCTGCTTTTTTCCCCTTTCTATTTATATTTGTAGAGGATTATTTATAATAACATTCACGTTGAATTGTTGAAAGATTACTTTATTATCTTTAGTGAAACTTGGATTAGCTGTGTTTTATGCCAAAAATGGAATCTGGGATATATGTGCCTCAATTACTAAGAATAATTTGCAAGTATTTTAATTTCTATCTCATTGATGTTAGTAGTTTTAAAGACACATTTGAAAAATCACTGTACCAGTAAAACTGTCAAACCCAAATTAAGGGACATTCTACAGAATTCTGATGATTACTCTTGAAAAATATCAATGTCATGAAAGATAAGACCCAGAATCTGTAACAGCTGGAGGAGGCTGAGGAGACAAGATATGTAAATGCAGTGTGGAATCTGGAGCAGTGAAAGGACATCAGTGGACAAACTAGTGAAATTGGAATCACTTCTGTAGTTCAGCGAATGTTGTCCTACCAGTGGGTACCAAGAGTGCTCCCCATTCTGGCATTGCAGCTCTACTCTGAGCTTAAATTAGGCAGCAAGTCAAAATAGGCAAATTTTAATTTATTGCAATATAATTCACAGTAGAAACCTAATTTCAGAACTAGAAATGTTAAGAGATCAATAGTTATCAGTTTTTTTAGTATCTGATTCTCAAGTAATAATGTGGTTTCCTAGAATACTACCAGGAACACATGATTTTATTCTTGGAGAAAATAGTCATTATTTTCATTTCTAGGATGAGCAGGTGACTATTTTAAGCTTAACATTTCTGCCAAGCACAGAAATGTGTAGCTCGGTACGGTATTCAGCAGTGAATTCCTGGTATCTATGGTGTGCCAGGACCTGAGTTGGGGATGCTGGGAGGGAGTGAAACCTGGCTCCTGCTTACGGATCTTATCATCTGATGTGGGCCCTGTAGATAGGAGTAAGAAGAAGCTCTCTTCATGCACTTAGCATTTGGTGTTTGGGTTGATAAGTTATTCCTTAAAAACTCCCTTATTGCAGATTTTCCTTGGCATTGCCTTACACCCTTTGCATCTGGGAAGCCCTAGGAATCTATTTAGCATCTGATAATCATTAGGTTGACTAATAGGAAATTATTTTTATAGCTCAACATGGATGAATGGCAGCAGTTTCTTATGTTTCATCCTAGTAATACCACTTCATTTTGAAAACGTATCACATTCTTAGTAAATTTATCACTATACATAAATTGGTTTAAAATAAACTAGTGTGCATAGATAGATGCCTTGTTTCCAAAATCCAGGTAACACAAGCAGGTGTTCAAACTTGAAATGAAATGCAGAACAGTCTTGTTTACTTATACAGGTTCTGCAAGTGTACTGATTAATATCCAGAGATTCTACGCAGTTAGATTTTGTGGAATTTTTTTCCTCACTGAGTAATTAGGAAGGAACTAATGCGTTCTAAGATATCCTTCTCATAAAAACTAATTTTGGAGTTTCTTTCAGACAGCAAAGATTTTCTAGTTTCTGTCCAGCACTGAACACTATAGGTTTAGAACTCATAGTCCTCTTTGGCAGTCACATTTAAGTACAGACCGTAAGAACTTGGGTATATTCCTGCCAAAAGTGCCAACAACTTTTGTTGGCGGAGAATGAGAGAGTTGTTTCTGTGTCCATAGGAAACTAACTCTGAATGATATCGTTTTCCTTTCTCCAGTTGCTTGAGCTTATTGGTTTGTTGTGTTGTATGTTGCTCTCATTTCTTGGTTCCCAGCTTGTTAATGTGTAGGATTAGCAAGGTAACACTGCCTACAGAAAAAGCAGCACGTTTTCCCACATTCAGCTGAATGAGACAAATACAGTAAAATTAGAGTCCAGACTGTCTGTCTCTTAACATTGCATAGTTATTACTTTCAAACACATTTGCCCCAGTTACTCGCAAATTTTCCAGCAGGTTAAATTATCGGAGAGAG